CCCCCCCCCCCCCCCCCCTTCTCAGTGGCAGGTGCACATCGCACATCCAGCAGTCTTACATGACTTTTAATGTGAAGATTTTTCACTGGATTATGATGAGCTTTCCTGGCTCAGCTGCCTTAGCAGCTGGCTGTGATAGGGAAGCATTGCATGAACTCAGCAGGTTCAGAGGGCTGTGTCATTCTCCTCTACCATTCTTCCAGAAATACCCTGAGCATGCCATCTACAAGGTGCTGCAGCTCATGATGCGCCGTGGCGAGATCCAGCACCGCCTGCAACGCAAAGTCCTCTATCGCATCAAGTAACCTTGCTTCCCTACCTTCTTGCTCCTGGCTGAAACCATCCTAAGGGAACCCATGCTGGTGGCTGCTGCTATTGCTGAGGATGCTTCTACCAGAGTTCCAGCAAGGCCTTCTAGAAGAAACTGATGACCCTGCTGTGTGTTAGCTTCCTGCTCATGGAGGGAACTTCCAGTTTGGGGGTTAAACAGGAGGGATCCTCCCTTTTTTTACTAGAGTTCATGGCAGCAAAAGGCCATACTTTGTATTTCAGATGCTCTAGTAAATATCTTCTTGATGTTTCCTAGGCTATCAGAAGGCTTTTAGTTTGTATAAAATAAAAGATATGGTGGTGCTGCTGGATCTAGTGGAGTTTCAGATGGAGCGGGAAGTTTCTTTCAGGTCCCCCTGGTGCAGGGGTGGGCAAAATATGACCTGCGGGGTGGATCCAGCCTGCCAAGCCATTCTATCTAGCCTTCAGGGCCCCTAAACATCTTAGAAAATTTTAATTTTTATCTGCCCCTGGCTGCCTGTCAAAGATGACAGGTGCCAGGGGCAACAGGACCCAGGGGGAGCCAGTGGCTGAGCAGCAAGGCCCACCTGGCTGCACCTGCCCTCAGACCCTCCTCCCTTCCCATCCCCCACCCCCAACTGGAAGCCTCTGTGGCTTCTGGCCTGGTGACCCTGGGGCTGTTCACCACTTCCCTCTGTCCAAGTGGAAAGGCAGATAAGGGGAAATTGCTGCGAACCACGTGGTGCTTGCTGGGCAAAGCTGCAACCAGAGGGGGAAGTGACAGCGGCATGGAGAGCAGCGGGTAGGGTGTGAAAAGTGACTGGCAGGCATGTGGGAGGCAAAGCAGGGAAATGGCGGGGGAGTGGCAGCAGCGGAGGGGCCATGGAAGGCGGTGGCAGGGGGCAGAGTGGCACCAGTGGCTGGCAGGTGTGTGGGAGGGAAAGCAGGGAAATGGCTGGGAAAAAGCAGGGAAATCTCTCTCTCTTTCTTTCTCTCTCTCTCTCACCTCTAGATACACTTCACAAACATGTAAATCAGTACAGAAATACTTTAAAATCAAAATTAAAGTAAATATAGTAGATGTTTTATTTTTTTTTGTATATGATTTGGGGGGGTTTTCAGTTTCAAGACTGCAGCACCCTCCTTTCCAAAAGGAGTACTTCTGCAGCAAGGGGTGAGACTTCCGGTGGCAAAGGTCAGGGTTTGGGGGCGGGACTTCTTGTCCCAATATGGCAACTGGGGGTGGGGCACCTGCTAAGGGGTGGGGCTACCCATGCGGCCCCTAACAGCTCACCAAAACTCAGTAAGTGGCCCTCCACCCAAAATAATTGCCCGCCGCTGCCTTAGTACCTACAGGATTTTCCCCAGTGTGACTCTCTTCTGCTCCATATGGTGGTACATTCTTACCTCCCTAGTAGCTCAGTTTAACACTTCCTTTCTTAAGGTGGGCCTGCTGGTTGGTGCCCTACATATAAAGCCAAGAAGAGGTTTTCCCCAAGGACTTGATCTTTCCTTTCAGATGCAAACCCTGTTAGTGCAGACATTATCCAGCCTGCATTATTAGGCAGTAAATCCCAGCATGCTGTGGTCTCTCCCACTGCTTTGCAGCAGAAAGGGAGCATGTCACTTCATACAGAGAGCAGTTATGACCTTCTTTCAGAGACTGAATGTGTACAGTTATCCTGCAAGTATTAGCTCTTGCACCAAGGCAACCATTTTGGGTTCCTGCTGCAGCCTTTGTGTACATAGGGCTTCCTTCCCTCATGCTGGCAGGAACCTCCTGCTTTTTCCTTACTCCATGAATGCATCGCATAGGCTTGGTTTTTGGCGTTTTTATGTTTAAGGGCCCAAGGTAGCACAAGCACAATGATGAGACAAGTATAGTGATAGATGTTTGCAGAATGAATCCCACCCTACAAATCCATCTTTACTTTGTGAAACTCCTGAGTGAGGAACTTGAAGTCCTTCATGCTTCAAGCCTTTTCAAAGCAATGAAGCCCATATGAGTTTGATGGAAGCTAAGCCCTGTTTTAGAATGAGTGGCCATCTGCAGCACGGACAGCCTCTCTGTATGGCATGTGGAAGACGGAGGGGACAGGCAGCACAGACCAAGAAGCAAAAACTAGAGCAGCAGACCGGTAAGGGGATCAGCGTGGCATTTGGGAGGGCATGGGACTTAATTTGTGGCATACCTGCCAAAAAGTTTGCTTCCCACTGTTCTAGAAAGTGATCTGCAGACAAAAAAGAAAAACTCAGGTGGATTATGAAATGACTTCACTAGTAATAAGCAATCAGGACTCATGGTAGAGGGTGCAGGGCCCCTGGCACGGCTCTACGAGCGATCGTGGTGCTTGGGCCAGGTGCCAGACGATTGGAAGGTAGCTAATGTGGTCCCCATCTTCAAAAAAGGGAAAAGGGAGGACCCGGGCAATTATAGGCCCGTCAGTCTTACCTCAATCCTGGGGAAGCTCTTTGAGAAGATCATCAAGGAGCACATTTGTGATGGGCCGGCATCCGAGATGATGCTCAGGGGCAATCAGCATGGATTTATTAGGGGGAGATCATGTCAGACCAACCTGATTGCCTTTTATGATCAGGTCACAAAGGCCATGGATGCAGGTGTCGCGGTGGATGTAGTCTTTCTGGACTTCAGCAAGGCCTTTGACACCGTCTCTCACCCCATCCTAATTAATAAACTAGGCGACTGTGGCATAGATGCCTACACGGTCAGATGGATTGCAGATTGGCTGAAGGGTCGCACTCAGAGGGTGGTGGTGGATGGATCATATTCGACTTGGGGGGAGGTGGGTAGTGGAGTCCCTCAGGGCTCGGTCCTGGGCCCTGCGCTGTTCAATGTCTTCATCAGCGATCTTGATGTTGGGGTGGAGAGCAACCTGTTTAAATTCGCTGATGACACCAAAATTTGGGGGGAGGTGAGCACGCTAGCAGGGAGAGAGAGATTGCAGAAGGATCTGGATAGGTTACAGGGGTGGGCAAACAGGAACAGGATGTGTTTCAATACGGACAAGTGCAGGGTGCTGCACTTGGGTAGTAGGAACCAGCAGCACACTTATACGATGGGGAACTCCCTACTTGAGAGCACGGAGGCGGAAAGGGATCTTGGTGTCATTATTGACTCCAAGATGAACATGGGCCGACAATGCGAGGTCATGGTTGGCAGGGCTAACCGGACCTTGTCGTGCATCCACAGGTGCATCTCGAGTAGAGCCAGGGAGGTGATCCTCCCCCTCTATGCGACGCTGGTCAGGCCGCAGCTGGAGTATTGTGTCCAGTTCTGTGCGCCCCATTTCAGGAGGGATGTGGACAACATGGAGAGGGTCCAGAGGAGGGCCACCCGCATGATCCGGGGACAACAGGGCAGACCCTACAGTGAGAGACTGCGGGACTTGAACCTATTCAGCCTCCACAAGAGAAGGCTGAGGGGGGACCTGGTGACCGTCTATAAACTCACTAGGGGGAACCAGAAGGGTTTGGGGGAGACGCTGTTTCCCCTAGCCCCTGCTGGCATAACAAGGAATAATGGGCACAAGTTGATGGAGAGGAGGTACAGATTGGACATCCGAAAAAACTACTTCACAGTCAGGGCGGCTAGGAGCTGGAACCAACTTCCAAGGGGGGTGGTGCTGGCCCCTACCCTGGGGATCTTTAAGAAGAGGCTGGATACTTACCTGGCTGGACTCATTTGAGTCCCGTTTTTGTTTTTAGGGTGAGTGGTTTTGTTTGTGTTTTTTGGGTTGTTCTCCCGCCCTGGCGGGGGGGCGGGCTAGAAGATCTATTAGGTCCCTTCCGACCCTGAAACTATGAAATATCTTTTGCTAGACCAATTAGATTTTTGCAAAAAAAAAAAAAAAAAATTTAATTCCAAGCTTTTGGGCACAAACGCCCTTCATCAAGCATCCAAGAAAAGATTGTAAAAGTTCTCCTGGGTAGAAACGAAAGTTCATATTGCACAGGAGAGTTGAAGGTGTGGTAGAATCTCCTGTTTGGAACAGTTCACTTTCTATGCAGATTAGGCTTGTCAGAAAGTTAGAATAGTCTGTTTGCCTCAGTTGTTTTGTGGTAAGCAGGATGTAATGCATACTTAGCCAGTAATACATATTTAATTCCTAATTATGTAATACATAATTTACGAGTAATACATACTTAGTCAGTAGGGGGCACTAGACACTCAGAAATAATACTGCATTTGGCACAAGCTAGTTATACCTCTGTGTCATAACTAAAGATGTGCGCTCTCTTAGCAATAGGAAAAAGAGTAAATCAGCTTTGACGCCTGAGTAGTTGCTAGTCATAGCCTCTGTGACGATAAGCCTTGGTGCTGCTTGGCTAAGGAAGTGTTCTCCAGTTTTGGGTGGGGGGTGTTTGTAATTTAAGGTTATTATCCAACCAAATTTAAGGCAGACTGCAGGAAAAAGGCTTCCACAAAGAATCAATGTAAATTGTCTTGAGGAAAGGTTTGCATATGCAGGCAAAAACACAGAGCTGTGTGCTTTGGCCATGGCATCCTGGTGTAGTTGTAGCTACAAAACTCTCCAGTGAAGGATGCTGTGAAGGTGGTTCAGACAGAAAAGGACTTAAGTGCTGGGAGGCAAACCAATCTCCTAACTCAGGTGGCCAAACTGTGGTGCACGTGACTCAGACAATCTGTGTGGCCCATGGCAGACGGGAGGGAACAGGCAGCACAGTGGCAGATAAAGCAGGAAGCAAAGCAGCAAATTGGGCAGGGAACATGAGGAAGGAAGTAGAAAATAGAGCAGCAGATTGGGCTGGGAACACAGCTGGGAGCAGAAAGAGCAGCAGATTGGGCAGGAAAAGGAAATCAGAATAGCACTTTGGGAGGGTGTGGGGCTAATTTGTGGCACACTTGCCAAAAAGGTTGGTCCCCACTCTCCTGATAAGTAACATGGGATGCTGCCTTGTGGACTTGGGGAAGAAGAGTCTAGTAGTTGGGGTTTCTGAAGTGGAGGTGCCACCACCCTAACAGTTCCTGTTGCATTAAACACCCCCCATGCACCCATCTCCACTTTTGGTGATCACAGGCTCTTCCTTCTCCAGTGTTTGTTAATGCTGTCGGTGACAGCTACGGCAAGTGCTCACAGCCATTCGCCCTCAATGTGTAGATTCCCATTGGCAAGGGGAGGTACAAATGCACAAAGGGCAGACCAGACTCTGCACCAGTGTAGCTGGTCCAGATTGAGTAGCAACGTCCTAGAAACCCAGATTGTGTCTATGCCGTCCCTAGGCTTTGTCCTGAGTGTTCTCATGGAGGGTTTCCTACTAGTGTCCTCCTGCTCCAGGTGTACCAAGCCCTGGTGAAGAGGTTATAAAACTGCTGTGGAGCTGTGCTACATGGAAGCCAGTAAACATGCCTGAGACAGGGTACCTTGGGCATGTTAGGGCTGGGTGCCTTGTGCTACTTTAAGGCAACTTTCTTAGCTCTATGAGATGGGGTTTTTTCAGGGTGTTTCCTTGCCCCCCTGTAATGGCTCAAGCAACGTGGACAGCACCTCAAGAGCTGAAACCGGAGAGGGAGTAAGAAAGAGGCTTAGAAACAAGCTGTCTGGCACATCTCCTCACATGCCGTGTGGTATTCTGTATTCCCCCGCAGGAGCAGACAAGAGCGCTCAACTTAAATGCTTGAGCTGGCACGTGCACTGCTGTGCCCAGTTACATGTGCTGTGCCTTGCTGACCTTTCCCAAATGGCAGTCTCACTCCCTGGTGCTCTGGAGGGGAAAGAGGCACAGCTAATTGGCCTGACCTTTACAAGGAGGCTGCATAAGGGATGCAATTCCAGAGCCTTCGCACCTCCCTTTCTGGCCCTGCATTGGGGCAAAGAGGAGGTCAGGCCGGCTACGCCCTTCTCAAGAGCCCCTAGTTTTGGATGCATTCACGCCCTATAGTTCATATGAGTGAATTAACTGCAAAGTTACT